CCTCACATAAATAACACTGTTAATCGTTAATTCCCTCAATACTCTGTTAATTCCCCAAATCCATTCATATTGATCTTAATCCCTTTATATCATCCATTGGGACTCAACTTTACAGCGCCGCAGGCGAAAATTTTGAAAATAAAAATTTCGGTTCGGATATCGGTTCCGGTTCCGGATATCCGAAATCTTCGGTTCGGATACCGGTTCCGGTTCCGGATATCCGAAAATTTCGGTTCGGATATCGGTTCCGGTTCCGGATATCCGGAGATTTCCCAGGAACCGCCATCCTTATTTCTTAGATGTAAGAAATATTGGTGATCAAAGCACACATCCCGAACAAGCACAAAACTATGAAATATTTCAAGATCTTTTACGCAAACCACCAGAAATTGGTCAAGAAGATTTAAAATATAAATCAAAGACTTCCCCGTGTGAGTTTTTTGAATTTTTTAGGGGAGCATATACACTGTCAAAAAATTATAAGCATCCCCAAGCCCTTTACCTACATTTTCTGATGCTGCAAAAAGAGATACCGTACTTCTTCTAATAGTGCAAACGGTCGGTTTATTTTTCAACCCTCCTCTAGAGGGCGGTTTATTAGAAGGAGTCGGTCTATTAGAGGGAGTCGGGTTATTTTTCAACCCTCCTCTAGAGGGTCGGTTTATTTGAAGGGGTCGATCTAATAGAGGGAGTCGAACTATTAGAAGAAATACGGTATTTTAAGTCGATAATCCAAATCGTAACTTTTAAAACTTTTATGACTCACAGAGTCCATATTTGTCGAATAATGGTGTTCTCGACGCAGATAGTACAGTAATATGTATAAAGATACAGGAGGGATATTAATATTATAAGACTGTAGTTAAATATTATAGATATTAAGACTGTAGTTAAAGATAAGATATATGTATTATATAAGACTGTAGTTAAATATAAGACTGTAGTTAAATATAAGACTGTAGTTAAATATATTAAGACTGTAGTTAAATATAAGACTGTAGTTAAATATATTAAGACTGTAGTTAAATATACATATATCTCTAATTCAACAAATCTTATTAATACTTCCAAATCCCCTTAATCCCTATGATTCCCTATCAAACCAAATTCTCTCTCATTATCAATACCTCGATATTTCCATAAATCACTACAAATACAATAATCCAGTTAAATCCTTTGTAATCACTCTAAAAAAATTGTGTTGATTAAATTGGGAGCCGTTTCTCTTAATAATTTTTAAATTTAGTTAGATCAGCCATATGGGATTATTATACAATTTTCTATAATGACGATGGTGTTCGACGTGTTCAATGTAACTTTTGTACCCAACAATATAACTTCAAACCAGAGTCTACCTCAGCAAATTTCAAAGATCATCTCGAAAGGAAGCACAAAGAACAATTTAAGGAATATCTTAATAAAACAAAACGTAATAAACTGGAATATGATGGTTCACAAATTTTCTAAAGCATTACATAATTTAATAGATCTACATAGCTTTAATCCTCCTTGGAGTTTCAGATAATTTACTATCATTCAGTCGGCTTTAGAATATCTATTCCTTTGTTCTCCCACCTAATATTATATTTATTTAATCTAAGATGCAAGTGAGGTTGGTTCTGATCAAACCCCACATACTAAACAAACAGAAAACTACGAAATACTTCAACAGCTTTTGCCATCGGAAACTGCTGAGAATAATTCAGAAACGAGTTCAACAAAACCACGTCAGTTTCTGAATATAAAAGGGGGCGTGCGGCTTTACAATAGTAAAACATAATTATGCCAAATAATTAAAATCTCAAAAATTTTGTATGGTTAGACAGATTAAAATCATAAATATTTAGTAGTAATACTTTTCCTATTCGGCCTAACTGCACATTAGTAGGATCATTCGACTCAGCTCGACGAGATTTTTTGAATGAACCATTATTTTCATATTCGAATTTTTCACCCCCAGAAAACAGCTTGTTCCCCTCTAGGTTTTTTAATTTAGGGGTCTGTAACTCGGCTCAAAATTTTTTCGCAGAATAATTTTGGTGTCATTCGACTCAGCTCGACGAGCTCTTTCAAATGTCATATAAATCATTTATTTTTAGATCACGTTACTAAAGTGCATTTTATCCTCCTATTCATATATCTTAGTCAAATCTTCTAAAATTTTGAACAGTAATAATTTTATTTAGTTACATCAATCATCTGGAAATATTTTGTCATCTTTCATGATAATGGTGAACGATATGTTCGATGTAAAATCTGTCAACGTCCATTTAAATGGCAGTTAAATACTTCCTCGGGAAGATTCAAGGGACATCTTGATACGCACGTAAAAAATCTGAAGAAAATGAAGCGTGCTCATAATGAGGAGTGATTCCGATTACAACCCCGACGATTTTTGGTACTCTTGTTATCTCCCACCATTTTATTTTTTCTTTATAGTATTTAAATGTGATTCTTTTTAAAGTAGAGTAGGTCAAGATCGAGGTTTTTTTTAAAAAACCGAGACCGAGGGCAAAAAGGCCGGTAACGCCAAGATCGAGGTAGAGGGGTAAATATTGCCTGGGTCGAGGTTCGAGCATAATAGGTTCTTAAAATTTTTTTTATAAAACTTCAAAATTTAAATAAATTTACAGAATTTTATCAAAAATACACTAAATCGTTATCAAATTCATCTTTTTAATCTCATCAGATTCAGTAGGTAGCAGGTCTACTGGTTCCGTGACTTTTGCGCCGAGAACATTTACGCCGCGACTTATGCGCCGCGACTTTTGCGCCGCGACTTATGCGCCGAGCGACTTTTGGGCCGGGGGACTTTTGCGCCGCGACTTTTGCGCCGGGCGACTTTTGCGCCGCCACTATCATTAAAAATATATCAATAACTACAGCCGGACCTCACTTTAGTAGGGTTGTCGAATAGTTGGAAATCTTCGGATCTGATATCCGAACTGAAAGTTTCGGATATCCGGCATTTTTCGGATCCGGATTTTCTAAACAATGGCGGCGCAAATGTCGCGGCGCATAAGTCGCCCGGCGCAAAAGTCGCGGCGCAAGAGTCGCGGCGCAAGAGTCGCGGCGCAAAAGTCGCCCGGCGCAAAAGTCGCGGCGCATAAGTCGCGGCGCAAATGTTCTCGGCGCAAAAGTCGTGATACCGGTCTACTGACTTGCTACTGTAGCAGGTCTACTGATACAGGTCTTCTGGATAATTCTCAGAACTATTTCTGTTAAAAAAGAGTCAATCTTTAGGGGTGTATATTTAGTCTCGATCCTCGGCGAGGTTCTTACGAGGACCGAGAAAAGGTTCCGTGACTCGAAGTCAGCAAAATCGGAGTCGATGTTTAAAAATGGGCGAGGACCTCGGCCTCGGCGAGGCCTCTACCTCGACCTACTCTACTTTAAGTTGATTGTTAAAGGAAAATTTAAATTTTTCATATCCATTTGATATTGATGATTAGAGATCGGAGTTTTAGTTCGTAAAAACTTAAAAATGGGTAACTAAATAGGTTGCAAAAGAGGATAAAAAGGTGACAGAAGCCCTAAACGTATTTCCTAAAATAGTAATCGTCCTGAACTAGTACTACCCTTAAAATAGAGGTTCTCTAAGTAGGCTCTAAGTAGCCTCTCAAATCTGCCGATATCTTTTTTAATCACCAAATCATCTGATATAACTTCTAATCCCCAAAATCGCCAATATCCTTTTTAGCACTCTAAATTTTTTGATATCGACTTTAATCCACCATATTCTCCTTAATAGCTAAAAATCTCCTTTTATCCCATAGGTGATAACAATAGTTTGAGCTCAATTCATTAAGACTAGTTCGCAAAAAATAGTTTATAACCTAAAAATCCGATCCCTATTGATGATTTACGAAAAATTGTAGAGTACCCCCAACTAGAAAATTACAGTACCCCCTACCCCCTAACAGCTCTGGTTAACTCGGTATTTCTTTTATTCTATCGAAACTGAAACAGTTTTTATTGGGAAAATATTCGATTATAATTCCAATTACATTCTAATATCAATTTTAAGTAGAAATTCGTTTTAAAATTAAAATTTGGATGTAATTTGAATTTGAATCTGATAGTTACCCCATATTTTTAATATATCTTTTCATGTTTATTTTCCCTTTATATTTTAAAGTATTTTAAATGTGATTCACTTTGATATTGTAAAGCATATAGCTATTAATTTCCTAAGGCTGTCAGTAGACGGCGTTGTGTAATGCTAACACATCATTCCGGTCTACTGAAGATGCTGGTTCGCTCCCAGCCGCCGAATAACATCTTGCACTAACTAAATGAGTGAAATAGCTATAGCCCAGCTGCTTTAATATTAAGTTTTTATTTTTTTTATATTTTTAAAGATTTAGATTATAGTAAAATTATCTCTGTCTCTTTTACATAAAGACATAATATTAGAGCCCGACCGAGACGAGACGCAGTCCGGGCTTAGTTAATAGAACTAAACTTAATTTTCGGGGTCAACTTTTAATTATAACACCCTAAAATTTTATTTATTTATCAAATACCGTGTCTGGTGAAAAAGTCAGTTGTTAATTGGACAGTGAGTTAATTGGGCAGTGAGTAATTTGGGCATTAACTTAAAATTTTTTAAATTATTTAAAATTTATAAGTAAATAACATTCCCTTTAGAAGATCTTTTTAGTTCAAATTAAAATTAACCTTTTATTAGTAAACTTTTTTAAAGTACGGTAGGTCTTTGAGAGAGCAATGTTTCATTAATCTTGCCATCTCTAGCAATGATAAATCTTAGTTAAAAATCATTGTCATAACATAGAAAAAATAAACCCCAACCTCATTTTAAAAAGCGGTAAACGGAAATTAAGAGAAACGGCATATTTAATGGAAATGAGGAAAGATACGCGGCCTGAATAAAAGACGGAATGAAGTAGGAAAACCATCACTGATAATAGCTTCACATAATAATCACACCGATAATTTCTATCCGTTTATCTCCTCCTGCTATAACCTCTTTATGTATATCACCTCTCTGCTATAGCCAGTAGACTTGGCATCTGGCCAACAAACGCCGCGCCGCTCCTAAGGATGCCCTTAAATTGCCCTCTCCCTCTCTCCTTCTTCACTCCCGATTTTATTTTTTGTTATCACCTGCGATATCCCTCTCTGCTATAACCAATAGACTTGGCATTTGGCCAACAAACAACGCGCCCTTCTATGAATGCCCTTAAATTGCCCTTTCCTTTCTCTCCATCTTCCCTACCGATTCTCTCCAACTTCCCTCCCGATTTTTTTTTCAGACATATGATTTTGGCATTCATATGGCAGTCAAAGCGCGCATGCCTATTTAATTTCTATCGCTCCCAAATTCAATAAAATTGACAAGCAAAATTGATTTTTACATTATAGACAGCTGCCTGGGCATTTTAAATTTTAATTTTTCAATTTTTTCCTCATAAACTCTCTCGTAAATAGAATTTAACATTTAAATTTTAAAAGATTTCTTAAGGATTTCCTCAAGATTTTTGTCCAAAACTTATTAAAATATTTTAGCAAATGTACATTTTTAGAAACCTACGCATCTTTAAAAATTTTTTTGATATGATAAATGTTTGTGAATAGTAGGGTTAAGATTTTTAGTCAGGTATTTTCCCAATTCTGTTGGAAAATTGGAAATAAGGATCTTAGGAACTTGAGAAAAAAGGAAAACTTCTAAATATCTGATCTTTATTTATGATACCGGTATTGTTTAAGTAAAATTAGAGTTGTGCACGACGATTCTAAGGCTGAAAATTTTGATATTTTTTGCTAAAAACACCTTACAAACTTTTGCAAGGTGGACTCTAGACCCAAAGGCTAAAAAGCACTTTGATTGACAGTTCCGTTAATGTTACTTTCTCAGTAAACATATTTGTAATGTTCATATTAATCCCCCCATTAATACATATTCATTTAGGCTTGAGGACCTGATCAACCCTCAGAAATACCCCATATGGAAAGTTTGCCAGCACGCTGCGTGCTGTTTTTCTCTTTAAAAAATAGAAAACTTCTGAAAATTAGCAATTTTATTAAAAATTCCCTTAAAATAAAATCTGTGTCTAAAACTCAAAACCAAAAACCGGGTTTTTAAAATTTGGATTAACCAAAAACCCGGGGTACCGGTTAACAACCGTCGTGCACAATCAAACTTTTATCAAATTTTGAAAATTTTTAAGTAAGGAGACTGACTTTGGCATATTGGATTATATCAGTCCCAGAAAATAGGATAATTAAGCCTTTCTTAGAAATTCCTCATCCCCAGAAATCTTAGAATTAGGGTAGAGCTCCTGCATATGAGGTAGATTCGTGTCGCTGCTCTCCGACCAGTATCGCTGCTCCCCGAAAAATTTCCTTAAAATATAGACAACCACTTATAATCTCCCCTATCAGCGATATTTTTGTCTTTAAATGTCTGCATCGTTTAAGTACAGTAAAAAAAATTTAGAAAAAATGAACATTCAAGGCCACAAATTGTGGTGGCCTCCGTTGATTCTCCAATGCATTTTAATTCTGCTGATTGCACAGGCGGATTGTAAATTAAACAATGAACCAGAAATTGAAAAAAGAGTAATTTCAAACCCCCCAGACATAACAAAGGATGTTTGGAAGATAAATACTTTAGTGAAAAATATTTTTACAAAGGGGACGATAAATGTAAATAAAGAGTTGGAAAAGCTGAAAGTATTAAATCCGAGGATATTAAATTTATTTAAGTATAAAAAAGGATTTGAAAGATTAAATATATATGTTAAAAGACACCTTGAGAAGAAGAACAATGCAATGATAACACAAACTGATTTGATAACAAATTATGAGGTTGATTTTTAAATCGGGTTGTAGTCTTACATACAAGTTCGAAGCTAGAATTTTAGCCATAATATTAGGGCTTTACCGGAAGTTCCGGTTCCGGTTCCGGAAATAAGAAAAAGTTCCGGTTCCTGAATCCTGAACTCAAAAACATACATAAATAGTTAGAGGGTGTTGATTAGATAGATTTCTAACAGAAATCACTGACCTGGACGGTGGCCAGCGACCCCTTGACTAAACTAATCGACATCTTCTACATCGAGGACTTGGCTTCGTGAATTTAAGCAAGTATGTCCTTGTTAGAAATGGAGAGCTTTCAGGATTATTAACATTCATCGAAGATTGATTGAGTCCCTTGATTTAGTCCGTCCAACCGATGGGTCTGACTCTTGTTACTACTATAATAGGTGTCCAGTAACGTGGTTCATGAAGTATGTCGAGTCCGAGCGAGGTTCATGAAAACAATAGATGAACTTAATGAAACCGTGGACAAGGATTCATTGTCTTTATCGTTGATTTAATTACATTAAAATTTAGGAATTGAACTACAGCTTGAATATATTGGAGGATAACGATTTCGAACAGAGAATAGAAACAAAACTTGCTTGTGATAAATTATTTCCCCAAGAATTGGAAGAGTATTACTTGAAAGAAATTTGTAGCCAGTTACAAAAGATGGTTAAAATTTATGGTGTTGGATTAGAAAACGTGTATAAAAAACAGACACAAAAATTGGACATTAATTATGAAACTAAGACAATTTTAGAAGAAACGGATGGAATTTTTTATAATTTTGAAATTAAAAAGAACAGTAAGGCATTTATGTTAGAGAAGGGTTGGAAGAGGGAGAGAGGGGTTCTAGCGTTTAAAAAACTTACTAAAAATTTTGTTCGGCGCATTTCTTCTAGATAGTATATAGCTTTTCAACAAAGGTGAACGAGATTACCTATTTAACCCTTGGGTAAATGGTAGTATTTCACCTGAACTGATATACTGACTATAGATCGAGATTTTTGAAAAGCCTGGACCTGTTCCCGGACTCTGGATTTAATTCTTGACCTGGACTGGATCCTGGGCCTGTAGTCCATGAAAAACCCAGGCCCAGGAAAAACCCAGGAAGGGTAAAAAATGCCTGGACCTGGACTCTGAGTACAGGAAAAACCCAGACCTTGGTCCAGGTCCAGCTCGATCTCTAATACTGACCGGAACCTGAACCGGATCCCATTTAAGTTCCAGTTCCCGGAACCGGAACTCATAAAAATTTTGCTAGCAAATTTTAAAAAATTTGTATGTTACGTAGGGTTGTCCGTTTGAACAAATTCCTCGATTAAACGAACCGACTAACCTACCGTAAAACTGAACCTAACTACAAAAATCCCCTGATATGACCGATACCCCAACAATTTCATGATATCCCCTTTGATCCCTGAATTTCTTCAAATTATCCTTATCCCCCTAGAACCCTAGATATCAAATACAAAAATATTTCCCTGATGAATAATCCATCGTTGAGGAGACAAGAAAGATCTATTTTTAGGAAGTACTGTAATTTTGTTCAAATTAAGATGTTCCTCGCATTTCATATGATGATCTTCAACGAGAAAATATCAAATTAAGTAAAGATAACTCTGTGGAGAGTTTAGTGGAATATTCACTAAATTATCAACAATTGAAGGCTGCCGTTGAATTTTTTAGTATCGAAGCAAACACAAGTGCATTATTAACATTTATCTCTAAAATCAAGGAAGGGGAGGATAAAGCAATGCTTAAAGAATTAAATATGGCTTATTTGCATAAATATGCGGAAAAATTACATAAAACTCTGAATAAGAAAAAATCTTTCCTTACTAGCAAAAATAAACAGGTAAATTTATAAATCCCTGTACAAAGATACGAAAGGTTAACCTTATGAAAGGTGACCTCATGAAAGGTCCAACATTAAATCGTACATTTAGCTTGTATTAAATCGTACATTTAGCATACGTACATGTACTAAGCTTTCTCCAAATCAGAGGGCGGTCGAAATTCCGATTTCCGAGTTCCGACTTTAGTGACATTTTCGATTTCCGACAGTTCCCATTTCCGGCACTTTAACCATTTCCGACGACCTCTGCCCCAATTGTATGAAATCATACTTAGATACTGTTGCTCCTTTATTCCTCAAAAGGGTTGTCAGTTCTTTGAAAATTTTCCTATAACCGGAACAGATCTGTCGTTCACTTTATTAAGCAATTCTGTTTTAAGGCCAAATTAAACGACAAAATTACACAGCAATTGAACAATGTGGACATTGCAATTAATTTGGGTTACATGCGTTTTATTTACATGGAAGAATTTTGTAAAAATGTGGATAGCATATACAAAGGGGATAAATTAGTGAAGTTCAAGGAGTATATGAAGGATTACTGTACTGAAAAAATAAACAAGATTTTGGACAGTTTGAAAACTGTAATTAAATTTGATTAGGTGATCGGAAATTGTGAGTGATTCTAAGGTTATAATAAAATCAGGTCTTATTTAGGTACCTATATTATTTCAGATAGAAGCATGTAAATATATGTACATACGTTTATACTTTATTTTGCGCAATATTTGCGACAACAATTTAAAGGAAACTTGTGGTGCTGACTCTAGGAGAGCTTGAGGATCTAACAAAAAGACCTTTGAATCTTCGAGTCCATTAACTCTTATTATTTAATTTTTTTAATTGACTAAACCAGACAAGCTTCCTTGTGATGATGAAACATTTTAAAATGCGCGTGTTTTTGTTGATTTTGAACAAAATTTATCAAGATGTATTGAGGGTCATTCATGGCATTTTTAGTTTACTGATATAATTTTGTTCAAAATCTCCATTTTAATGTTTCTACATATCAGTTCATTTCTTATTTTTAAGCACCTATGTATATAATAGAGTTGATCAAAACGATACTGGTATCGGCCAACCCGAGACCGATACCGAGAAACGATACTGACCGAGACTAACAGAAAATTTTATTTTATGTCAAAAAATACGTGTAAAAATAATTTATTCATTGTTTTCATCATCCAAATCATCAGACAAATACTTTTCATCATCTGGATCAGATCTGGCTTGGCAATGGATACTGATTTTTGTGTCCGTATCCGAATAGGTATATCCGTGAGGTCGACATCCGTATCAGATTATATCCTTACAACTTTTGAGGCATATCCATCCGCGGGTATCCGCGGATGGCCGAAGTGAAAATTTCGGTTAACCAAACCATTATTTCAGCGCCGGAGACAAAAATTTTTAGAATTTTAGAAGTGCAAGTCAACAGATTTCTTCCAATTTTTAGCGCCGCAGGCGAAAATTTGTAGTTACAACAAGAAGCCAGAATTCTTCTTATTTTCAGCGCCGCAGACAAAAATTTGAGAATTTTGGAAGACCATGAAGCCTGATTTCTTCCAATTTTTGCCCTCAGATCGCAAAACTCAATGTGCTCGTCCCTCTTCCGATCAAATTAAATCCCCTTAATCCACTGGTGGGAACAACAGTTGCCGAAAATTGGAAGGTCTGTAAGCAAAATCTTGAAAACCTAACGGCCGAGGGCTCGGAAAATTCAACATTTCAGCGCCACAGACGAAAATTTATTAAGTTTTGAAAGGCCAAGTCACCAAATTTCTTCCTTTTTCAGCGCCGTAGGCGAAAATTTTTTGAATTTTAGAAGATCTTATTCGAAAAAAATTCACTTCTCTGTTATGGACGGATATCCGAAAAAAATTATTGACGAAAACTTGTACAATATTGAGTATTTTGTTTCCTTGAGTCAGTATCGTTTCTCGCCGAGAAATGGACCGAGAATCTCGGTATCGGTTTCGAGACCGAGAATGAAAAAACCGAGACCGATATTGGAAAAAAGCCGAGAATCTCGGTATCGGTCTCGGTATCGGTCTCGTCTTGATCAACTCTAGTATATAATTTGTAAATATTTTTTTGGCATAAAATTAACAAAATTCTAATTAAAAGTTTTGATTGAAACACAATTTTGGAGTAGATCCCTAGATATCAAATACAGAAATATTTCCCTTATGAATAATCCATCGTTGAAGAGCCAAGAAAGATCTATTTTTAGTGAGTACTGTAATTTTGTTTAAATTAAGACGTTCTCGCATTTTTATAATGATCTTCAACAAAATGCCATCAAATTAAATGATAACTCTTTGGATAATTTAGGGAAATATTTACTAAATTATCAACAATTAGTATTAATTTGTTAATAATTTACTCCAATTTATCTTTTATCAAAAACAATGATACTAGTCATAAAAGAAAAATTTAAAACCGGAGGTAGCAAAGTTGCTAATTGAGGAAATGTTAAGCAGTGCTGGTTATTTGAATCGAAGATCCCTAAATCTGAAGACCTCAAAGGTAAAGGCCTTCAAGACTTCAAAAGTCTTCTTGTGGATAATACAAATCATTTTTCAACCTAGAACACTTAAACATCTTTGACCTATCCCCAGGTAAATTGATGCAGCTTGAACCAGCACCGATATTTACATAAAAGTCCAAAATTTAAAATAAATTTTTTAGGATAATAAAAAATTTAAATACTGTTTCTTTCGTTAATATTTTTTAAATCGTGTCCATAAAGTCTTCGTGCGGATAATCCTCTCAATAATCATCCTAATTGAAGCAAACTTTTCAAACTCGTCAAAATATGCTTTACATATTTATTACAGAAATTCTTTAAATAATCTTTGAATGAAGCTAATATCTCCTCTCCATATATTATATCAACATTTTCACAAAATTCTCCCATGTAAATAAATCGTAAATACCCCAACTTGACCAAATTTTCTAGATTTAATTGTTGTTGCATTAACTTGTCATCATTCTTTTCCTTAAAAAAATTTTTACAGCTAAATATTTTTAAAATTAATTAGCTATACAGTGGTCTAACTCACTAAGACACACAGCAGTTCTTTTTTTAAATCCTCCCAAGTCCCAAATCTCATAACTTTGTGGGGAAGGGGAACAATCTTAACTCTCACACTCCACACAGAGCGTCTCCGACCTCCCAACCTTCTGGGAACGTCGAACACCCCCCACCCCCCCCCCCCATTACCTCCCATATCCACAAAGAGTAACTTGAGTATCGGATTTAAAATATAGTTGGGTCAGATACTAATTGTATCTTTGATGAAAAATGTATTTTTAGAAACGCGATTTTCCAATTGCTTAAAATCGGCCTCCTGTTCGATCAGTAATATTCGAATTAGGGTTGCCGTTTTCGCACCGGGCCAACGTTCGAGTCATTTTTCTGGCCTTATTTTTCTCGGGCCGGACCGGTCGAGTTTTTTAGGACCAAAATTCGATGCCGAACCTGGCCGGCAACCTTAATATCATTAAGCAATCCTATACCTTTTTTGTTTTTCCGATGATCAAAACATGTTTTTTGCTTTGTTTTTTATCCAAATTTTCAAAATATTTCAAAACATAATTTAGATTTTTTTCTTTAAATATTAATTTATCATCACTTTTTGCGATTTTGTTAACCATATCGAATAAAGCCCGACTTTTTTCTTGACCAACAAAATAATTAACGCAAGACACCAATTGTTGATAATTTTTTGAATGTTTTTCCAAGGTTGCTATAGGACTATTAACATAAAATTCGATATGTTTAAGTTGCGGATCAGGGTAATAAATATGTGGAACATCTAAATTTTATTTTAAAATTTAAAAATCTTCCTGAAGAAAATTATAATTTTGAAGCTTTATTTTGATTAACTAACAATTAGCGGTAAAAATGGGCTGTATATGGATGGATTAACGGATCTAAGAGATATACCTATTTTTACTCGATACCGTAAAAACTTCAATTATAAATATTGACGGTTTAATTAAAAATCACCGGATAGTCGGAATATAAATACAAACTGTAACTTTAGTAAATCCACAATTTTTGGTACCGGAACTAGGGCGTACATTCATAAAGTGTGGCAAAATCGCATTCCCCTTGATCCCTAAACAGGATTTTCTTTCAAAATTTTTACGGTTAATCTCGTGGGATTAAGATTAAGATCCGAGATTCCGTTCGGGATCCCGTACGAATTCTAAATATACATACCGTATATATTGTATTTAGTACCCTCCCTCAAATAATTACCCCACCTGCTTTTATTACCCCCTCCAGCGAGAGATCGAAACAATAATTACCCAGGGTAATTAATACAGTATATACGGTATACATAATTAATAATTACGTTCTTATTATTATAATAGCCGATTTTTAGTTTAGAAAAAACACATTATTGTATATGTGGTTCACATTATCTGTAATTTTACTGTATAATAATTTTTTTTACCTTCATTTTTAAAGTTTCTTTCATTTTTTAACTCTTTAATTTTTTTATCAGTAGAATCTGAATATCTCAAAATTAGATTAATAAATGAAAATTCTATTTACTAACCAAACTTCTTTTCCAACTCATTTAGCTTTGTTTCCCCCTTACTTTTTGAAGACTCTCCAACTTGATTTTCAGAATAAACATAATCTAATGAATCAAAATTTTTAAAAGGAAGTTATAAATTAAGCATTTTGCTTATGAAGATAGGGCCAGAAACTTGTCTTAAAATCACTGGTTTCAGGGGGAATAGACTAAATATCCTATAACATATTTTAGACAACATTTATCCAGTCAATATTTTATCCGGTCAAGACTGAGATTCCTTCCATATATAGCCAAAACAAAGTTTAGGCAAGACTACTCATTTAGTATAGATCGTCCGCCTTGTAATAATATGGCGCAAGACCCGTAATAATTGAGTAGCCTTGTCTAGACTTTTTTTGGCTATATGTTAAAGGAATATTTGATACAGTGATTGAGAAATAATAAAAATTAAAGAATAAAAGTGCTATGTTATTTTCTTTTATCATCCCGCGTTGCACTTAAGTAAGAGTTTCATAATACAGGTTGCCCTTTTTTTCTCACAGACAATCTGATAAAGCAAACGAATGAATCTTCTATCAGTTGTAAAGATGAGTGATAACAATCTCTTGTCTAGGAGAGATTTCAGTATTAAACCCTCTTATGATGTTGCTATCTTTTGGGTGGTTTTGACCCTTTATTTGGTAATAGCTAGGCTAAAGCTACTGATAAGAAAAAGATTGTCATGTATGAAATCTCAGTCTGAATAATGCCTGAGATTCAGACATATCACCAGAATCTAACCAATATTAATCACAAAATTTAAGCTACTATTTTTTAAAATATTTTTAATAGCTACTTTCCGGAATGGCAGACAGAGAAGAACTTTTGATATGTTTTCCCTTCTTAGTTGAATTTGTAATATTTCCAGCAGTTTCTAAATTTGAACTGGTACTTGAAGAAACTGTTCTGGATCGTGACAATGTTGCTGTCGTAAAAGAGCAGAAGATAATAAAAATAAATAGAAAATAATAAAGTTTTAATTTTCGCATAGGGATTTTTACAATGAGGTAATCTAAAAATTTTCTTGAAAATAAAAATATAAATTAAGTATTAAACTCTCAAATAAATTAAGAAAGATCCAGTTGAACATCACTATAAGTTAAATCCTTGGAATTAAAAGATTTTTACCTTAGCATGAAGTGTAACTTAAAGTAGTTGAGAGCGCATGTTTTTTGAAGGGGATTAATGTTTTATAATTAAAAAATTTTATTATAAATTTAAAAAAAAATGTTGAGTGTAGCGCCCTGTCTAGTTTAATAATTTTGTCAAAGATAAAAGCCACGTCATTAAATCAATATAGATTTTGATTAAAGGGAGAGAGGGATATAAGATGAGAGAGTGAGGAGGGGATATATGAGAGTGCGAGGGGGTTTTGTTGAGAGTGAGAGGGAGATATATGAGAGTGAAAGGGGGATATATGAGAATGAGAGAGGGATATGTTAGAGTGAGATGAGGACATATGTATGAGTGAGAGCGGGATATATGAGAATGAGAGGAGGAGATATGTGAGAGAGGGGGATATATGCGAGTGAGTGGGGTATATAGAGAGTGAGATTGGGATATATGATAGTGATAGGGGGATATATGAGAGTGAGAAAGGGGAGTGAGAAAGGGATTTATGAGAGTAAGAGAGGGATATATGATAGTGAGAGGGGGATATAGAGTGTGAGAGGGGGATATATGAGAGTGAGAGGGGATATATATAGTGAGAGGGATATATGAAAGTGAGATGGGAATATATAGAGATTGAGAGGGGTATATATGAGAATAAGAGAGGGATATATGAGAGTGAGAGGGGGCAATATGATAGTGATAGGGGAATATATGTGAGTGAGAGAGGATAGAGTGAGAGAGGGATATATTCCCCTCTCACGCTCATATATATAGAGGGGGATATATGAGCGTGAGAGGGGAATATATGAGAGTGTGAGGGGAATATATGAGAGAGAGGGGGATTAGAGAGTAAGTAAGAGAGAGAATGAGAGAGGGATATGAGATGGAGAAGAAAGATTGATAAACATTACTGATTAAAAAATTGTAAATCGAGGAGTCCAAGCAATAACTCCGAGGCGGTCGATGTTCGAATCCTGCTTGGTGGCTAAATTTATGCCAAGCTCTTTCTGTATTCGATAAGCTTGTTGTCGAAGAGTTTTAGTTTATTCTATGCCGCAGATCTTTACTTCACCAAATCACTTCACTGAATTTTTTCTGAATTAATCTGTAAAAAATAAATCGATAAAAAATCATGTTAATCCTCATATACTTTTTTAAAATTATTATAAAAATATTTAAATATTCCATAATTATTCTAATGATTACACATTTCTATATAGTTTAAGTAAATTATGTGTTAATATTTTAATACTAATCCTCAAATAAATAAATTATACAGAAGTGAGAAAAAAAGTTATTTTACATATTTTATTTTAAAATTTATCAAACGAAAAATTGAAACTAAAATGGTGATTTGCATAACATTATTTTAATAATTGACTGGAATAATAGTAGTTAATCATGTGTTTGAGGATTTTAAAAAACCGAATAAATCGCAGGAAATTAAAAATAATTTACTTCCGGCTTAAAATAGACAACCGAACAATAATCAATCTGTATTTAAAGCTAAGGATAATTTCAAGTTATCAATCAAAATTAAATTAGAGCCTACTTCATTTAAATTCTACATTCATTTAAATTCCTTATAAATTTAACGTAGATATTGGGCATTTTTTCCAAATCTTGGCTCCGGCTCCGTGCATTTAAACTCTAAGCTCTGGAGCCGGCTACAGAGCTATCACCCTGATATTCATTACTGATGTTTTCTAGTTTTGGAAACCGTCCTGAGCTCGAAGGGAAACGGACCTCTTACCCATTAGTACATACATTTCGGGAGATACTATGTGATTATTTGAGACCCTTAAATTATTTGAATTTTTAATCAAAATTATTATTCTTAAGGGTTAACTCTTAAAATTTGGACGTAAAATGATTGCTTTTTCTTCCGCAAAACTAAAACTAAACTAAACTAATCGACATCTCCAACATCAAGCACCGGCTTCGTGAATTTAAGCAATTAAGACCTAGTTAATAATGTAGAGCTTTCAGGATTATCATTCATGCATCGAAGATTGATTGAGTCCCTTGATTTAGTCCCTTGATTGATTGAGTCCCTATATTTTCTAGGACGGGTCTGACTCGCGTTACTATAATAAGTGTCCGGTAACGTGGTTCATGAAGTAAGTCGAGTTCGAGCGGGGTTCATGAAAACAATAGACGAACTTAATGAAACCGTGGACAAAGATTCACTGTCTTTATCGTTGATTTAATTACATTAAAATTTAGGAATTGAATTACAGCTTGAATATATTAGTGGATAACGATTTCAAACAGAGAATAGAAACAAAACTTGCTTGTGATAATTTATTTCCCCAAGAATTGGAAAAATATTCCTTAAAAGAAATTTGTAGCCAGTTACAAAAGATGGTTAAAATTTATGGTGTTGGATTAGAAACGTGTATGAAAAACAGACATATAAATTGGACATTAATTATGAAATTAAGACAATTTTAGAAGAATTGGATGGAATTTTTCATATTTTTGAAATTAAGAAGAACGGTAAAACATTTACAAATCTTAGGGAAGGGTTTGGAGGGGGAGGGGAGAGACGGGGTTCCTGTGTTGAACTAAACAACTAAAGATTTTGTTCGGCGCATTTCTTCTAGATAGTATATAGCTTTTCAATAAGTGTGACCAGATTACCTATCCAAACCTTGGGTAAATGGTAGGGTTTCACCGGACCCGATATTTTGACGGAACCGGATCCAATTTGAGTTCCAGTTCTAGGACTACAAAATCCCCTGATATTACCGATACCCCACCAATTTCATGATATCCCACCAACCAACCACCAATTTCCTGATATTACCGATACCCCACCATCAAATTACCCTTAATCCCCCCCCCCACAGATCCCTAGGTATCAAATATAGAAATATTTCTCTTATGAAGAATCCATCGTTGAGGAGCCATGAAAGATAGATGTTTAAGAAGTACTGTAATTTTGTTCAAATTAAGATGTTCCTCGCATTTCTTATAATGATCTTCAACAAGAAAATATCAAATTAAGTAAAGATAACTCTGTGGAGAGTTTAGTGGAATATTCACTAAATTATCAACAATTGATGGCTGCCGTTGAATTTTTCAGTATCGAAGCAAACACAAGTGCATTATTAACATTTATCTCTAAAATCAAGAAAGGCGAGGATAAAGCAATGCATAAAGAATTTAGTATAGCTTATATGCAGAAATATGCGGAAAAATTACATAAAACTCTGAATAAGAAAAATTCTATATTCACTAGCAAAAATAAACAGGTAACTTTATCCAATCCCTATATAAATTTATGGAAGTAAACCTTATGAGAGGTTAACATCATAAGAGGTCCAAAATTAAAGAAGAACACGATTAAGCTTTCTTACATTTAGATTGTATATACATACATGTACTAGGCTTTCTCCAAATCAGACGTCGGCCGAATTCCAATTTCCGACTTCCGACGTTTTTTTCTTTCCGATTTCCGAGTTCCGACTTTAGTGACATTTTCGATTTCCGACAGTTCCCATTTCCGGCACTTTAACCATTTCCGAAATACCTCTGCCCCAAATGAACAGAATCATACTTGGTAATACTGTTGCTCCTTTATTCCTCAAAAGGGTTGTCAGTTCTTTGAAAATTTTCCTATAATCGGAACTAATCTGTCGTTCACTCTATTAAGCAATTCTGTTTTAAGGCCAAATTAAACGAAAAAATTACACAACAATTAAACAATTTGGACATTGCAATCAATTTGGATTACATGCGTTTTATTTACATGGAAGAATTTTGTAAAAATGTGGATAAAATATACAAAGGGGATAAATTAGTGAAGTTCAAGGAGTATATGAAGGATTACTGCACTGAAAAAATAAACAAGATTTTGGACAGTTTGAAGACTATAATCACATATGATTAAGTGATCGGAAATTGTGAGTGATTCTAAGGTTATAATAAAGTCAGATCTTGATCTAGGTAACTATATTATTTCAGATAGAGGAATGTAAATATATGTATATACGTTGTATCTGATTTTGCGCAATATTTGCGACAACAATTTTGCGGTACTTGTGGTGCTGACCCTCGGAGAGCTGGACCTTAGAGGGAACAAAAACCTTAGGGGGCCTTTGGATCTTCGAGTCAAATGTGTACATTTTATCATTAGTTTCTTTAATTGACTAAACCAGACAAGTTCCTTGTGAAATGTGCGTGTTCCCTCGTAAAATGTTTCTCGTAAAGTCCCTCGTAAAATATGGTGTTTTGTTGATTTCGAACAAAATTTAACAGGATGAAGTAAGAAGCATTTTTCAGTCTATAAAGTTTATAAACCTGTTATAATTTTGTTCAAAATCTCAATTTTAATTTCGTTATCATTTCAATTCATATATTTAAGCACTTCTGTATATATATTGTACATAAATATTTTTTTAGTATAAAATTTAACAAAATTTTAATTAAATGTTTTTATTGAAACACAATTTTGGAGTAGATACATAGATATCAAATACAGAAATATTTCCCTTATGAATAATCCATCGTTGAAGAGTCAAGAATGATCTATTTTTAGTGAGTACTGTAATTTTGTTTAAATTAAGACGTTCTCGGATTTCTCATAATGATCTTCAACAAAATGGTATCAAATTAAATGATAACTCTTTGGATAATTTAGGGAAATATTCACTAAATTATCAACAATTAGTATTAATTTGTTGATCAGGACGCAAATTTATCTTTAATCAAAAACAATAATACTACATACTTAAAAGAAAAATTTAAAACCGGAGGTAGCAAAATTGCCAATTGAGGGAATGAAAAACAGTGCTGGTTATTTGTATCGAAGATCCCTAGTTCTGAAGATCTCAAAGGCAAAGACCTTCGAGACTTCAAGAGGCTTCTTGTGGATTTAAAGTCATGATAATGACTTCAAAGTCTTCTTGTGGATAATAAACATCATTTTCAGCCTATAACACATAAACATGTGAGCAGGCCAACATACCGCGGGCCCAACCTACCGCCGAGCTATAACTTCGTTCTTAATTGTCGAATCCGGTATGGCCATGTATGGTTCGATTCAGCTCGTCGAGGCGCATCGAACCATACCAGGTTGCCCCGGATTCGATCATTCTGAACGAAGTTATAGCTCGGCGGTAGGTTGACCTCGCGTTAGGTTGAGGTGTACCCCTTAGACATCTTTGACCCATCATCAGCTAAATTAAACATTTTGAAACCAGCACTGATATTTACACAACAGTTTAAAATTCAAAATAAATTCTTTGGGATAATAAAATATTTAAATACATTTATCTTTCGATAATATTCTTTAATCACGTCCAAGATTGTCTCCTTGCGGATAATCCTCGCAATAATCATCCTAATTGAAACAAACTTTTTAAACTCGCCAAAATATGTTTTACATATTTATTACAATAATTTTTCAAATAATCCTTAAATGGATATAATATCTCCTCTCGGTATATTATATCAACATTTTCACAAAATTCTCCCATGTAAATAAAACGTAGATACCCCAACTTGACTAAATTATCTGAATTTATTTGACGCTGCACCATCTTGTCATCTTTCTCTTCCTTAAAAAATTTTACAGCAAAATATTT